GATGAAGGGAGACGGAGATAATTTAGGGTTGGAATCCCCCAGAGACCTACTCCTCAATGAGAAAGGAAAGAAATTAAGAAAGAGACCAACAAAAGACAAGGAAAAGGGCAAGTATAAACAAGAAGAAGAAGATCTGCAGAAGGGACATGGAAGAGACTTAAGGGCCTCGGACATAAGATTACCAGGTTGATGGACTAGATGGAATGGACAGTAAGGACTGACACGACCCGAGACCAGGAAGAAGAGACGTTGGATGAAGATTGGAAGAAAATTTATAAAGAAAATTTTTTTTCTAGGGAATTAGCCTAAAATTAATGAATATTAGGGAAAATGTTGGAATGAAACTATATGACTCTAGTAGAAATGATATCAGGAGTTATGTATAATCGAGTATGAAGCTTTAAGCTCTAAAGTATTTTACGGTAAGATAAGGTTAAATAAATTAAGGTAATTTGAATAACAGAATATGGGGAAAAGATGGAAAGGATTTGTTGAGTTAATTAATAGGTTAAATTGTTAAGATAAATTATTTAATAAAAATTGAGAAAGATGGAAAGAATTTGCTGAAATAACTAATCAAACTAGAATACAAAAAGGGAGGTGTGAGGAGGTCAATGAAACAAGCAAATGGAAGTTAAAGATATGTAATATGGGATTTGTGTCTTTTTCTTTCTTTCTTTCTTTCTTTCTTTCTTTCTTTCTTTCTTTTATCTTTTTGCTGTATAGTTGCATTGGTTTTTATGTTTTGCTTTTTTTCCTTCTTTTTTATGTATTGTAGTGTTGTTTTTAATTTTTTCTTTTTTTCCTGTAATTCTGAAACTATTAATAAATATTATTTTAAAAAAAGAGAGAACAGAAATCACGCAGCGGCGGCGCAGCGGTGGCAGCGGGAGGCCCCATTAGCTAAAGTGGTGCTTCAGGTTAAGAACAGTTTCAGGTTAAGAACAGATGTCCAGAACTAATTAAGTTCTTAATCTGAGGCACCACTGTACAGAACATAAGAAGAATCTCTCTCATTATACTTCTAAAAATTTATTAAATTTCTATTAAATGTGAGTTGATGTGATGATGAAGATATCTGGGCTAGATCACTGTACTGAATTTCTATTGGTATTGTCAGATGTGCTTTGAAATATGTAAGATTCCACAAATGTGTGAATTCAACTATGCTTGACGTACTTTAATATTTATTAAGCTGTTTAAGCACTTGCTTTTTTATTTTTTACAGTGTGATATTATATTTATGTTCTTGGTTTTAAAACAGTTATCCATCCTGAGCTTTTAGGAAAGGGCAAGAAATAAATAGGCTCTTCTTAACAACATCTGCATAATTAAAACAGCGATAAATTTTCCGAAGTTTGCAATTAAATTAAACGGCGATCAAATAAAATTGCATTCATGGGATGAAGAGTACATTCTGGTTAATGATTACCTTACGTAATTCAAGGTTCATTGCCTATTATTGATTGTACTTTATATTTTATAATCTGATCTTAATGAGCAAAACTAGAGGAATCACATGCAAAGTGTTAATGATGGTTTCACCCTTAAAGATCTTTAAGAGGAGAAAATGCAAATTTCTTTTGGTTACGTGGTTCAAGTTTTTCTGTATGCAAATATAACACATCTGTGTATTTACTTTACTGCAGACATAACTAGCAAGTGTTTAGTGATGAAATCTGTTCTTAATTATGATAGCAGATGTCAGAGTAGGAAGTTTCCCCCCTTTCTAATGCAAAGTCGCCTGATTTACTCATTTTCATATGCATTTGTTAGGGTTGCCAATGCAGGGAGAGAAGCCTTTATGAGAGACTTCAATTTGCTTTCTGTGTGAGAGCCTGTGCAAATGGACTAAATCTGCACAGCAGGGAAGTTTTATCTCCCTTCCTCATGCATTGCAAGCTGTTGTTTCTGCCCAGCCCAAGAAGAACATAAAGCTGCTCAACAAATGAGTGAGCTGTTAAGTGCTCTAGTAAGTATTTTAGGCAGCGGTTCCTATAACTTTGCTGTGCCTTACTAAAGAAGTGCAAGCATGACGTCACCGTTCTGGGGTAAATGGCATTAGCAGGCTGGTCTTAAAAAGGTATTTGCAAATAGACATACTTTTTCTTGGATGCTTCGTTTTTACTGGGTTTTTGCTAAAACTACCAGCAGGATGGAAATGATTAGAGCCTTTTTATTGTTGTGAAGTAGAAAAGTTCCCTGACTCTCTCTTTGATTGGTTTGAATCATAAGGCTACTGAAGCTCTGTTTGTGTGCGCGCGCACACACGCTTTCCTGTGTTCGTTTACAGAATCCTATATCCACTAACTGGAAATAAGTCCCATTGAGTTTAATGGGATGCAGCCCAGTAACTTTCCTTTCCTTGAAGACACTCACATAACAGTTACAAGATCTTCTTAGTTACAAGATCTTCTTAGTTACAATATCTTCATGGTCCATAAAGGTAAAGGTAAAGGGACCCCTGACCGTTAGGTCCAGTCGTGACCGACTCTGTGGTTGCAGCTCTCATCTCGCTTTATTGGCCGAGGGAGCCGGCGTACAGCTTCCGGATCATGTGGCCAGCATGACTAAGCCACTTCTGGCGAATCAGAGCAGCGCATGGAAACGCCATTAACCTTCCCGCCGGAGCGGTACCTATTTATCTACTTGCACTGTGCTTTCGAACTGCTAGGTTGGCAGGAGCAGGGACCGAGCAACGGGAGCTCACCCTGTCGCAGGGATTTGAACCGCCGACCTTCTGATCGGCAAGTCCTAGGCTCTGTGGTTTAATCCATAGCGCCACCCGCGTCATGGTCCATACATATATGCAAAAAAAGCATTGCAGCTTTGGAATCTTCAAGGCAGTATTTTCATTTAAAGTATGTTTATTTAATGGAGTTTAGAACAACCTTTGCCTTTATTGTAAAAAGAACTGTATTTTGTTACTTCAGTCCCTTGTGTACACTCACAACCAAAGTGAAAGTTTTAGTTGCAGGCATAAACCGTACAAACATAGAATCTCATTTTTTTAATTTATCAGATGCTTAAATTCTCTGTGAGTGGAAGTACCCTGATCATGCATGCTGCCTTTTGTTTATTATTTTAGGCATTGTGACACCACTTAAATAATTACCATACATTTCAGCACATTTTTATATTTGTGAAATACACACTGTTCACATTGCTTTATATACAAAAGGTGTAGTAGCTGTTATCCTGTCCTCAGTGCCTAATGCCGTGCTTAATGTAATTAATCTGCAGAAGTGCTGCTCTGTTTTATTGTGTCACTAAATTTGCCGACAATATAAGGTGTAAATTGATTATGGTAAGTGATAGCTTGCTGCTTACAAAATGTGCTTCAACTATAGAGCAAGGTGAACATACATATATACTTCAATAAAATGTATACAAAAAGCTCACCCTTCTCTGGTTGCTGTAATTTTGAGGCACATTGATTTATACATTGTTTGGAAGTTCAGCGCTTAAAGAAAAAGTACACAAGGACCAGGACATATTCAACTGATAACTTCCAAAATAGGGTCCAAAACATCCACCCATCCACCCAGCTAGTGTAGTTTGTTATTTGGGGTTGGACATTAGGCAGAACTAATTTTTGGTAGGCTTTACTCCTTGCATAGAGCTCTTAATCGTTCAATTATAAATTTAATTTAATATGTATTGGAAAGTGGTTTTCGTTTTGAAGTGCTTAATTAAAAAACTGTGCTGTGACTCCATGTGCATCTACATGCCTCCCCCCCACAACGAGCCTCAATAAACTTAATGAATGTCCAAGTAAGCAAGAATACAGATGATCAAGCCGTTGAAGAATCAATCTTGTATCTAAGTTATTGTGTCTTTAAGCGTACAGTGAATGTTTTGTTCATATTTCTGTGTTCACTTGTTTGTATTTGCAACCACACGTTGCCCGTATTTATTTTACTTAATTCTTTCTCTTTTCCCCATAGAATATTTTATTGGGAAAAAATTGATTAATTAATAGCGAATGCTCAAGAGCCATTCATCTTGTGAGTCTTTGGAATAGCAGCATTATGCTAAGAACAAAATGTATTTTGTAAACTTGTTACTCAGCTGTCTGCTATGAACTATCCTGGTATGTTGCCGGGAATCTCATTTGCATTTGATGGATCGAGTCATAACTGAGCACTTTCCTTTAGCATAAGCTTATGAAGGTTCTGGAATAAAGCTGGCGCTTGTCCCATAAGTAGGTTGGATCTTAAGTCACAGAGGCGACAGGATTGTCTGTACTGGTTCCTTTCCATACATTTATATGTAGATGTAGCTTTGTGGAGTGATGAAGGAGCTGGGAGACCAGGTTCAAACACTCCATGAAATTCAGTGGGTGACCTTGAGCCAGTCACAATCTCTCTGCCTAAACTGGTTGTTGTGTGGATAATACAGAGGGGGGAAAGCCATGCTTACCAGCTGCATCTCTTTGGAAGAAGGGTAGGATATAAACTCAATAACAATCATATTCGTTAGGGATACAATCCTGTTGTTGCAGCCTGTTGCACATAATGCTAAATAACATGGATAAGCATCCATGAGCTCAAGCTGCTTGCTGTCTTTCAAACAATTACTCTGCTTCTGGGTTGTATTCAACTACATCCTACTCAGAGTAGACCAATTGAAATTTATGAACCTAAGTTAGTTGTGTCCATTAACATCAGTGGCTTGACTTTGTTGTAGGACATGCATTAAATACCATCTATGCAAAAGAGCATATATGCAATGTATTGTTTTTAAAATATTAATAGATTTTGTAAGGAAAATTTCACCAGTCCAAATGGCCAAACAGACCATGCGCTCTGTGTGTGTGTGTGTGTGTGTGTGTGTGTGCGCGCGCACACACACACAGCATCACATGCTGGAGTGTGAGTTCCTATATAATCTTCATCTACCTCAGGGCTAGCTATCCAGAGGCTGGGAAGAAACAGGGGAAAGGCTGGCTAGGTGGACTCATTCTGTTAGCAGTTTTGCCACCAACTCAGTTTAATGTGGCCCATGTCTGGCATAGCTCAGTTAGTAGAGCATGAAATTCTTAATCTCAGGGTTGGGGGTTCGAGCCCCACTTTGGGCAGGGGGTTGGACTAAGATGACTCTTGTGGTCCCCTTCCAATGCAACAATTCTATGATTTCTATCTATTGTCTGTGTATTTTGGTATGTTATACTTGTAGGAATAACGAGGACGACGGGAGGTTGAGTGCAGGTGAGCTGTGCAAAAGCACACTGGCAAGCATGCTCCAAACAAGCTGCCGACTATCTCTGCAGAGGCTCCTTTTATTAGCAGAAGTCAACAATTGGAAACAGTAGTGAAACCACCCTGAACATGACGTATTTCCATCTAAGCACATTTCCAGCATTAGCAAATACACGTGTCAGCAGGTGTTTCCCTAAAATGTTTTCTCCGATACTTGATTACGTCTGCGTCCCCGGTCATGCTCCATCCAAGTGTTATGTCTAATAACCAAATCTGTGAGAGGACAAATGGTCAGGGGGAAAACCCTGTTTGCTAGCCAAGAAGGCAAAAGATCAGGGAGCGTGGGCGCAACGCTCCTTGGCACACTGTTGCGTGACTGGTGCGAAGTTTGCCTCAGCACAAGCCTCAGCACAATACTTTTGAAAACAGCCTCTGTTATGAAGGGAGGAGAGGACAGACAAGCTATGTTTGCCATATGGCATATAGATCAGCAAAGAAATTCTAGGTTTGACAGGACTGTCACTGGGCCTCCATGCCTGCATCCTTTTCCACTGTAGAGATTAACTTCCTTTGTCAAGAAAGGTTCATCTCACCTCCTTTTAATGTAGAAAACACACCAGCCAGGCTTCCCATATTTGAAGAGGATTTCCCCTGAAAATAATTTAGCATGTGGTTTTTATCTTCAACAAATCTTGGCAGAAAGACAGCATTTCCCATTGCTGCTATCATCTTGCTTTATTTGAAAGCTTCTGTAACCTAACATGATCCATTTGATCCTTTAAACCTTCAAAGCATCTCCGTAAGGAAAGGGTCTTGCTTTTGAACATTGCACTGTGAATGGCACTACAAATAATTTGTTCTCTATATAAGCTCACTAACTTCCCTCCTAAAAACCATAGTGCGTTTTTCTAGCTACAGAATGGCATTCTGTTCTTCTTTATTTATAATTTATTTTCATATATATCTTTCATATATTGTATACCCAAGTCTTTCTTGTGGAGACTATAAGGCTATTATAGCAATGGAGCAAAGAAAAATTCATTTAATTTGAGATTCATCAATGAGCAATAAGTAGAGTATTTCAGCTATGTCTTGATTGGCTGATTTTGTAGAATCATGCAGTATGTACAGATGACAGGTAATATGAGAATGTTTGTTTAACTTGATAATATTCTGACAATTTACTTATTGCTAGATTGGTTTATATTTACAATTCAAATGCATTGGTAATCGCTGGTCCTAGAAAATGGTGATTTTGAAAAAAATGCAATTTTTTAATGTGAAATCTGGTGTTTTTGGTTTTTCCTGTTATTCTTTGATCCAACTTTTAAAAAAAGTATGCAGTTACATTGAAATATCAGAAGATTAAGAGAGCAGAGCTCATGGGAGGAGAAATGATGTAATTTGCTATTTAATTTGTAAGTATGCAAAATGATGACATCATTGGCAACATAAGAAGAATACAGATAGCATCAAGGAAGGAATCATAATCATAGAAAATAACTGCGGTGGTTACTGGTGCAGATAGCCAGCCTTGCCAGATGTTAGAAGAATTTACATTTGTGTAGCATTGCCCTCTATCTCAGAATGGTTGCCTGCACCATTCTGCCAAGTGGGAAATAGGATTTTTCTGCATTAAGAAACAGAAGTGCTTGATTTTATGTAGCCGCCCTCTTTATGGGCAAATGAACTTATCATGTTTGCATCTATATGTCTCTCTTACTGGCCCCTGACAACTAGGTGCAACTTCCACTATGCTGCTCTATTTAACTGATAAGATGGATTCCACACCATATGATGGTTTCTTTGCACACTTGTTCACTTGTTTTTATTTTAAAGATGTATACACCTGCCTTTCAACCAAAGTTCCCTAGACATAATGTAATAGAAATATATGTAATATAGCATAATGGCAGCTTAGCCAGTTGTCAGCTTCCATGTTTGAAGGTGCAATATTCTCACCTGCAGGGTAGCTTTAAAGTCCTGATCAACAACCAGTTTTAGAAGGTGAGCCATTTCAATTGGGAGAGAAAAAGGAGCAGAAGTCCAAGCCTTTCCTCCCCTGGTAGTAAGCCTAGCCACCAATTGGTTTTGCAAAACGGCTCAAAAAAGTGTCACCCCCATTCTCATCCCATTGGGCTTGTTTTGTACCTGTGTGGAGGTGGTTCACAAAGAAGTCCATCTTGGTTGGCCTACCACTCTCTTGGGATTCTATCATGTGCAAACGCTTAGCCATGTCAGTCTCGCTCCTGTCTGATCAGAGAACAGCTTCAGTGAGTTACCAGAAGCCCAAAACAAAAGTTTGCAGAACATTTGCAAACTATGGCCATTACACCAGTTTTACAAATAGATGACCTAATTCTGTATGACCAAATTGTAGTGGAAAGGGGACGTTCTGTAGTTCAGAGGTTGCTCATGTGCTTTGCACGCACAAGATCTCATATTCAGTTCCTGATATGTCCAGGATAGCTGCTGCAAGGTAGTGTAGAGAAGACTGACTGGCCCAATAGACTGACTCTACAGAAAGGCAACTGCTTGTTAAAATTAGCAAAGTGCTTTGACGTCAGCGTGTTTGTGCAGCTTTGCAGGTGGAGATCTAAGCCTGAATCTCATCTCCAACCCCCAGAAGTTGTATATATAAACAGGATGGCGTGTTCTGATCTACAGTGCTTTTAAATGCTCACATTTCTCTGTTAAGTTTCTTTAATCTATCATTTGCAGTGTTTGTTTAGGGATATAATTGTGTATCCAATACTTCGTGATCCTATCTATTTCATTCATACCTTTTTTTTAATAAAAGAAATCACATAAGCATTTTCAAATATTGTCAGTCAATGCAATTGCTTCATATGTCTGCTTTACAGAATACTATACTTTACTGCCCTTAAGTTCATTTTTAATTGGGGTGCAGAGCTTTGAACAAGTCAATTATTATTTTTTATAGTAAATGGTAATTAATGTTTCATTATATTTTATTAGGCTCATTTCATTCATCTGCATTGGAACTAATCCAGGCTTTTCTAAATATTGTACCTGTATTTCTATACATGGGTGTGAGAGAGGGAGAGAGAATATGAATGAATGCAGGCTTTGACTTGAAGCCAGAGAATTATGTGACTAGCTATGCGCACATTCCATAGATTTTTAGACTAAACCCAGCCAGGCTTATGTGTCATTGTCTTTTTATGTTTTTACATACACTGTATCACTGAGAAGAATTTCTAAAATTAACTCAACAGTATACAAATGTATAAATAATAATAATAATAATAAAAATGTAGAAACTCCTTGGTGATGATTTGAGAAACGCATGAAACCATATAAAACCTGCTGGTGATATAATGCAGCCTGTTGTACTCTGGCCCACATGATACAAGGTTGTGTCCAGTTTCTCAGCTGAACTAAACACATGAGCCAACTTGGTCTTTCAGCAGTGCGTGAAGTAAAGGACATGTTTAGCTGAAATACTTAGAAAATACGAAGGTGACTTGATAGATACTTGGGGGGAGGGAGAGAGAGAGTAGAAGGCACAGATTCTTGACTGCGAGAAAAATGAAAGAAGACAACGTAAGATAAGCTTAAGTGAAGCAGAGACAGCAGGAAGGAAAAATAGAAAAGGAAAGACAAGAGATTTGGTTGTGAGCAGGATAAGCGAAGTCCTTCAATATAAAGACTAGGGCTTTCCTTTCCTTTGCTGTTTTGTAGGATTGGGTAGGAGAAGGATGCGCTTTTTAAAAAATACTGCCCCATTTTCACAGGCATGTCTCTGATTATGTGAATCTACAGAGAATGACCGCTCTCCACATCAAATGGGGGGTGCCTTTTGCGTGGTCACACGCAGCCCCCCAGGTCCCAGTGCGGCTCCTGGTAGTTCAGGATGGCTTCGTCCTCCCCAGGCTGGATACCTGGAGGTCTCCGCCTACCTCAGCTAATCACCCAATCCCGCTTGGGGAGGCATTGCCAGGGGATCGGCCAGGTAAGGGGAGGGACCGTCCTGCCCACACAACAGAAGGTGAATCCTACCTGCGAAGTGTCAGTTGGCTCCAGAGCTTCTCCCACCCTGCCCTCCCTCAGTTAAGTCTTCTTTTGCAGGTTAACCTCTTCTCCACAGGTACGCATGCGCTGCTACGTCAGGGCCAGAAAGGAATTTTCCTGCTTTGGCAGGTTTTGCCTTTTCCGTAGCAAAACGTCACAGCTTTGGTGGTTTCAGGCCTTGGGCGGAATCCTTTAGTCTATCTTCCTAAATGGGGGGAGCATGAACCGGTGACTATCCCCCCTTGCGGCGGTGATCCCAGGGTTCCCCGTTAAAGGGGTATTGAGGGGAGGCATTGGCCATATGCCGAGAGGTTGTCATTGCTCTCCCCTCCGGCAGCGAAACAGGGGGAGGGCTCTCTGCTTGAACTTATGTTCTCCAGAGCCAGCCCAATCCCCACACACTCTGGACAACCCTGATGTCTTCCAGATCCCCAGCTGGGGAGTGGGAAGGATAAACGCCCAATGCCTGAGCCAAGGTCTCCCTACATCTGAAATTTAATAAAATTGTGGCCAATTTTAATCCCATAGCACGTTGTCTTGAGGCATTATTCCACACGGGTGTCGCCTGGGGTTGGGGGACTCTGCCTGTCCATGCAGCTAAATTTGGCAATTGTATATGAGGCACATTTCATTAAAAACACAAGGTCTGGCTTAAAAAAAAACAAAAAAAACTTTTGACTGAAAGCTGTTTATCATTATTTTAAGAGTCTTCAGGGTACTAGACAATTATTTTTTTTCTACTTTAAAATGTCTCAATTGCGTCCCATGATCGTTAAGACTTAATTTTTTGTATCTATAGCAAAAACTACTAATCATTCACTGATCTCCACTGAGCAGTAGTAGA